CCACCAGGATCGTAGTCATAAAGTTGTTAAACATGCTTCTCCTCCGCTGGCACATCTGGTGTAGTGGTAACAAAGTACCCTCCCACGGTGCTGACCGGTGTTCGATAGCCGGCTGTGCATCATTGTTCTTTTCTTTTTTGGAACTCCACAAATTTAAATTTTTGGTTGAGTAAAATAAAAATAAATAAATAAAAAAAAAATTCAAGGATCATTTTTGGTATATTTGATGGTAAGATACAAAAGAGACAATAGTCTTTCCTACGAATGGCTTCTGCTGCCTGAATCGGAGATTGCCCTGCTTATCTCCATGTTGAAGAACTGATGCAAAATTTGGATTTTAATAGGACGGCTATATGCTATATGATTCCTAGAAAATTGAAGTCTAATGGTTAGAGTTATTAATGCCCGTTCTCTTTTATTTTATTTTGTCTAATCAATGCTAATTTTTTTTTTTTTTAAAGAAAGTCTAATGCTAAGTTTGTTTATATAGAAATGTTTAGTTCCATTTGAGTTGTATTAAACAGCACAAAATTAATTCTTGCAGCCCCCAAGGATTCCTTTTTCATCATCTGGATGGTAAAAAAGAGACTCTTACTTATATATACAAAAAGAATGACGATGACCAAATTCTAATAGTACTATGATTTCTTGCCATACAAAGTGAAAGTCCAATGAGAAATCCGAAATTTTGAGGCTTGTTTGGATTATTGGTTACCCATTCGTTCAAAATCTTTGAAGCAACATTCTCCAATTATTTTGAACTTTTTACCATGGCTACCAAAGGTCTTGTCTAAAAACCTTGACAATATTTAGTTATGTTATCTTCATCAAATAGATGTTTTGGTCCATTTCTATCCTCAAACTTGAAGTCTTCCTCTATTCTTGTCAAGTCTTTTCTTTCAATTTGTAAAATCCAATTTCATACTTAACAACCAGTTCTTTCTCCTGACATTCACAAGAGTGGTGTAAAGTGGTAACTCAAATTCCATTCCCCAACCTCTTTTTGACGATCGATAAACTCTTTGCTCCCTTAAATAGTCTTCTAACAATATAAGTGGCAGTCAATTGTGGTAGATGCTGTTGAATTTCTTGTAAAGTGAAATTGAAAAATGGATCTTATCTTGAGATGAAAATCTAACAATCGCCTTCATTGTTCGTCTTTCCACACTAAACAACCTAGTTCGAAATCCAACATATCTACACTTGCAATGGTCACTTCTTCATTGATTTTAAACAAGAGAAAAAAAAAAAGTATCAAACAACCATTCATCTATTTTAAGGTAAAAAACAATGACCTAGTAGGAGCCAAGCAAATCCATTGCACGATATAGTAGAGCATTTTCTCTAGGTTATTCTAAATTGATGCACAGAAAGTTGTTTGCGGACTCCCATATGCAGAGAAACAGGATTGCATCGGATTATTTTAGACTTTTCAAGTTTGAGACTCAATAATCCAATTACAAAATTTGATAGGGCAAAAATTACTATTCACGGACTAGATCCCAGAGGATAATGTGGAAAAGACTTATGAAAGTGTACCTTTCAAGCTCATTCAGGTCCATAGTCAAAATTCCTCTATTAGTTGGTCCACGAACTAGACCAAATTCTTCCATTAGCTAGTCCATAAACTAGATTGACTACTTTTGCCTTTGTAATGTTCTGGAGATCTTAAGAATTAATAATGCAAGTCTTTGCAAATGGCATAGAGCCAATTTGCGGTCCACACCCCACCTCCCTTATTCAGATCATGGCTGAAGAAAAATCATTCACTGCTTATTTTTGCTCTAATGGTCCTGATTTGTTAACTGTCTCTACCTTTTGACAAAGTTTGAACAAAAGGAATTAGGAATGATTTAATTTCATTCATGTGTATGCAACACTTATGTACAGGCGCACAAGTAGAAGTCTAATAATAACCCTATTACAAAAGGAAACATAATATATTATACACTAAATCAAAGATTGACTTGCTCATGAAGAGATTGAGGAGATCTCTTTAGATCTTTTCCTTAACACGCCCCCGCAAGATGGAGGAGCTGTCTGCAATTCCAATCTTGGATCTCAAATAAGTAAAGCGAGTGCTGGATAATGGCTTGGTAAGTCCATTAGCTAACTGATCTTTAGAAGAGATATGAGAAACTCGAAGAAATTTGTGGTCAACTAAGTCACGAACAAAGTGCAAGTCAATAGCAATGTGTTTCATGCGCGAATGCATGACTAGATTGCTGCTGAGATAAGCTGCCCCTATGTTATCACAGTAAAGCACAGGGGGTGTTGACGGAGGGATGCCAAGCTCATGAAGAAGATTAAGAATCCAAACAATTCCAAACCAACTGCCGCCAAGGCCCCAAAACCCGCCGACAAGGCCCCAAAACCCGCCTCCGGTGAACCTCAGGCCAAAACCCCCCAATTGGGTGCCTTCCAAAAAAACGGAATGGAACCAAAAAAAAACAAAAAACCGAGTGGAAAAAATAAAAGAACCATAACAACTGCCCAAACAACCGCAAAAAAACCATGAAGAGACAAAGAGGTTTGTGGACGAAGCAAAAGCCCATGAAATTTTGTTCCATTAAGATATCGAAGAACACGTTTCACTACCTGCCAATGAAGGTCAGTAGGGCTATGCATGAATTGAGATAGCTGGTTGATATCAAAGCATAAATTTGGCCGAGTTAAAGATAAATGCTGGAGGGAACCAACAATTTTTCTGTATGCAGTTGGGTCTGTGAGTGAGTGACAAGATATTTGCCAAAGAGAGGTGGTAGAGGAGAGGGGCGTGTTTACTGGTTTAGCATTTTCCATGCCTACTCGTTGCAAAATGTCTTGAATATACTGTCTCTGGGAAAGAAATAAGCCAAAACTAGTTTGAATAGCTTCCACTCCTAGAAAGAAATCCAATTCACCAAGATTTTTCATTGGAAATTTGGAACTCATGGCAGTTATCAAACGGTCAATAGCTGTAGCATTGCTTCAAGTGATCAAGATATCATCTACATACACCAAGACATAAAGCCAAGCAGTATTCTACCAATGAATAAAAAGGGAGCAATCTGACCTTGAATTAGTGAGACCATGAGCAAGCAAAAACTGTTTCAATTCTCGAAACCACATTCTTGGGGCTTGTTTAAGCCCATAGAGGAATTTTCGTAGCCGACAAACATGGTGGGGAAGATTAGGATCAATAAACGCAGCTGGTTGTTGCATAAACAATTGTTCATCAACTTTGCCATGAAGGAATGCATTGTTGATATCTAACTGATGAATTTTCCAACCCCTACTTACGGCAATGGATAGAATGGCTCGTATTGTTGTCGGTTTTATAACTGGACTAAAAGTTTGAGTGTAATTTGTCCTCGGTTGTTGATGGAACCCTTTAGCCACAAGCATCACTTTATAACGTTCAACTTGTCCATCTTTACCTCTTTTCAACCTGAAAACCCATTTACAACCAATAACATTTTGATTAGGTGTAGGAGGAACTAGATCCCATGTACCTTGACTTACCAAAGCATTGAATTCCTTAGACATGGCCTACCTCCACTGATGATCTTTCACAGCTTGACTCACACATGTCGGCTCAACTTCAGAACAAGGGCTTTCGGCAAGGTAGAGTTGCTTTGGTTTAAAAATCTGATTTTCAGATTGAGTGACCATGGGATGGGTTCGGGCGGGTGGTTGTATCGGGTGAAAGGGAAAAGATGAGGTAAAGGCTGATATTTGGATGTCAGGACTGGAGGGTGGTGAGTCATTGGAAGAGGATTCAGATGGGGAGTTACTTGTACGAGCAGGGGAGGGTATTGCAGAATTGGTTGGTAAGGTAGTAGGTGACGATGACGGTGAGTTCGTCATGGGTGAGTCGGTTGAGTCGGGTGGAGTTTGAGAAAGAGAAGGGGAACATGAGGGTGAGATGGATTGGCTTGATAGGGAGGTGGTTTTGGATGGTGCCGTGATTGTAGTGGGAAAATGACCAAGGGGATGAGTTGAGGAAGTTGCAGCATTGGGATATGATTCTTGCCAAGTGGACAAAGGGGAGGACCCCAAGGGGAAACGTGGCTCAATGGAGATTGGCATGTTAGGTGAGGAGGTTTCAGAGGAGAAAAGATTAGAACATAAAAATGACTTTTGAAAATTACAAATGGATGTGGTGTCAGACTTATGAGAATTAAATGGAAAATTTTCTTCATTAAATAGGACATGCTTAGAATAAAAGATTTTATTTGTTTGAAAATCAAACATTTATATCCTAAATTTTCTATAGAATACCCAAGAAATAAGCATTGACGAGAGTGAAATTGAAGCTTGTTTTGTGTATATGGTCGAAGCCAAGGATAACATGCACAACCAAAAATTCAAAGTTTTAAGTAATTTGGCTTGTTATGAAATAATTTTTCTAATGGAGATTTAAAAGAAAGAGCAGAGGAGGGCAATCGATTAATTAAGTAGACTGCTGTGAGAAAAGCATGAGACCAAAAACGAGGTGGCAAAGAAGCTTGGTGAAGCAAAGTGAGACCAGTTTCAACAATATGTTGATTTCGACGCTCACTCATACCATTAAGTTCAAGAGTATAAGGAGGTGTAGTGAAATGAGAGATTCCATTCTCAGAAGGGAATCTTTTTAATCCAATATATTCACCTCCTCCATCATAATAAAAATTCTTGATTTTTGTACCAAATTGGTTTTCAACTAAAGTTTTAAATTTAGGAAAAATAAGGGAAACGTCCGATTTTTGTTTTAAAGGGAAGAGCCATACATAACGACTAAAGAGATCGATGAATAAAACAAAATAGCTATAACCATCAATAAATAAAACTGAAGTTAGACCCCAAACATCTGAATAGATAATTTCTAATGGCTCTTAACTCTTGACACAGGAATGACCAAAAGACAGCTTGTGACTCTTTAAACAAAGGCAAGAATCACAAGAAAAATGCTCTACCTTCGATGATGTTGGTAGGCTATTTTCACTAAAAATTTTATTTTGAACCTTTGAGGACAGATGTCCTAACCGGGCATGCCAATTTATCAAAGAGGTACGTTCACCTACTAGAGCACTTGGTTGCGATCTAGATTGGTCCATGATAGGAAACTCATACACTCCATTTTTGTTTTGTCCACGAAGCAATATCGCCCAAGTGCTGCGATCTTTCACAAAAAATGAGTAGCGTGAAATTCAACAATAACATTGGCTGACTTGCATAATTGAGAGACAAAAATTAAATTTCTAGAAGCATCAGGTACGCATAAAACATTATCTAAAGGAAGAGATGTATTTTGTGTGGAAACTGTAGTTTGTCCTAAGTGTGTGATTTACAATCCCGAGCCATCACCGATTAAGAGTTTATCAAGACCAGTGTACTGGGAATGCAAAACCAGGTTTGCCAAGTCGGAAGTCACGTGACTATTTGCACCTGAGTCAATAAGCCAATTATTAGCAAAGTCATGAGATGTAGCTATAAAAGTTACCATAGGTGAGTTAGGAAATATACGGAAGTGGGAACAAGTTTGTGCCATGTGGCCTGACTTGTTACATAATTGACATGCCAAGGAAGTATGATTGCTAGGCTTGTGCATGGAGTTTTGGTGAGCCATGGTCTCGTTTGAGAGGGAGGCTCTGATATCACTGACAGAGTTTGAACAAAAGGAATTAGGAATGGCTTAATTTCATTCATGTGTATGCAACAATTATATACAGGTGCACAAGTAGAAGTCTAGTAACCCTATTACAAAAGGACACATAATATATTATACACTAAATCAAAGATTGACTTGCTCATGAAGAGATTGAGGAGATCTCTTTAGAACTTTTCCTTAACACCTTTACCCTTGACAAAAAACAACTAGTGGCCTTTTCCATTCTCTCCAATGAAATATCACATATAGAACATGATATTCTAATAGTAGCTCATAGAAAAACTCAGATTATCAATTTCTTGGAACATGACTATAACCTTTTTGTAGCTAACATCTTAAAGCAATTGAACAACCCTGAATTGGCTCTGTGTTGTTTGTTATGCAAAGATTTTAAACGATTATTAATTTTTAAGATCTCTGTGGCATTTATGGCACTTGAAAGGTGAAAGCAAATGGTCTAGTTTGTGGACCAGTTGATGGAGGAATTTTGACAATGGACTTGAATGAGCCCAAAAAAGTATTCTTCCACAAGTTTTTTCCACGTTATCGTTTGGGATCTAGTTCAGGAATAGTAATGTTTGCCCTATTTTGAAATTGGATTATGGAGTCCCAAACTTGAAAAATCTAAAAAAATCCCATGCAATCCTGTGTCTCTATAAATGGGAGTCCGCAAATAACCTTTTGTGTCAATTTGGAATGAACTTGGAGAAAATGCTCTATTGTATCATGCAATGGATTTGCATGACTCTTATTGGGTCATTGTTTCTGATTTAAAAATAGATGAATGGTTGTTCAATAGGTTTTTTCTATTTAAAATTAATGAAGAGGTGGCCATTACGGGTGTAGACATGTTGGACTTTGAACTAGGTTGTTTACTGTGGAAAGAAGAATAATGGAGATGATTCTTAGGATTTCAAGAAAGAACTAGTTATCAAGTATGAAATTGAATTTTACCTAGAGTTGAATATTGCCAAGTTTTGAGACAAGGCATTTGGTCACTAAAACAACTTAAGTCAAAATTCATTATTAACTTAACAACTCTTTGAATCAAGATCTATGACCCCATCATATATAAAACCCTGCATCATACCCGGCGGTGTAAGCTGCTGCGTTATTTCCGTTGTCGTAAGTTGTTGTATCCGACACCAAATCTCCGATCAAGAGCCTTCCTAGCAACCCTGCTTCCAACCCCAACCCAAAGTTGTGCTTCTTATGCCGTTGATGAAGGTAAGAGCACCTTGGAGGAATAAATAATAATTGAAAAATTTTTTAACCCAAATGAAAATATTAAACAAGAACTATGTATAGAAAGAAAGAAAAAATTTAATTTAAATAAAACTATTAAACAAGAATTGTGTATAAAAAAAATTTCAATTATTATCTATTTACTATATAAAATTATTTGATCAAATTTTATTCAAAAGTCAAACTAAAATAATTAAATCTGACGGGAGAGAAAATAATTTTTTTTGGTACTAAATCCTTAATATTTGAAAATCACATTAAACCTTAATTAATCTAGAATCAGGTTGAGTTAAGCTTCATAAAAGGAAAAACTCCACAAGTACTTATTTTTTTATCTACAAAACTTAATCTCAATATCTTATTTTAAGAAAATCGAATTCTTTCTACTCAAATTAATAGGTCATTAGTAAAAAGTAATAATTTTTCTTAGTAAGCTATTAGCTAAAAAATTGTTTTAAAAATAAATAAATAAAAAGAAACATACTATATAATTTAGATTACAAAATAGACATTATTAAATAAAAAAAAAGCTTCTAATATTTAGGATTAATCTTATTAATGGTTTAAATTGTACAATTCAATATAATTTAGGTAAAGATTACATATGCACTAGAACATGATCTAAAACCAACAAAGATTTACTTGATCTTAGCCAAAGCCGAGGAAAGTATAAAACCAACAAAGACTACACCTACACGTAAGGTTACTTGGTACATGTATAATAGCAGAGCCTTCTCTTTCTTTTATTTTCCTCTATTTTTTTTTTTTCCTAAGCGGAGCTTATTCCTCCTTGAAAAACAGTCTATAACGTCATGTTTTCTGCAACTTTAACTGTTGCAGACCTCGTGGAAAAATCGTCCACCATGAATTCACATAGGGACGGGGAGGTCACGCGAGATGGTCTTCGAGATCTCATGAGGTAGACAAGGTAAGGAATGTGGTGAAGATCAGCCAGGGTGTAGTAATCTCCAGCAAGATACTTAAATTTGGACAACCTTTCCTCGTAGACATCAAGAACCTTCCCTAGCTTCTCTACTTCAGCTTCAATGATCTTATCGTCTGAGGGCATCCCATTTATTGGATTGACAAGCATTTCTCGGAATATCTTCGACATTGGTTCATTGCAATGGTGTGCCTCAACTTCCATCCATGTATCAACAATGGTGGATTCTATGAAGTCATCAGACCCCAGCAAGTCAATGACAGTGTCCTTGTATTTTCTTGTTAGATGCTTGTGATTGCCCTTGATTTTGCATTATCCCCAAACATTCATGAAATTAGTAAACACAATTTCTTGAAACCCTCTTGTGTTAATTTTTAAAGATCAAATTATCTGAAGCTTGAAAATCATCTACAATTAATATATCTTACCTACCAATCACCAAACAGCTTGACATCCCCATCTTCTAGTGCAGGTATTTTCCCAAATGGCTATCAATGAAATTAAACAAATTGAAGTTTCTGTCAGCATTTGGGAACTGCTCAAGTGCCCTGTTTTTCATGCACATTGAACTTTTGTATAAGATTGATTGAGTAGAAATTTAATTTCAAAAATTCATTCTAGAAAAATTCTTTTTCTAAAAATTTCTAATTAATCTGGTATGGTAGAGTACTGGAGGGGGACAAGGGTGGGACAAGGACTACCTAGCGGTGGGCGGAAAAATCCACAATTGAACAAAATTCGAAATTGATCGAAACATAACTGATAAGTTGAGTTTGATGAAGTTTGGAGTTTTTTAATTGAAATCTAAATTGAACCAATCTTAAGTAGTTTGAATGTTGGTTGTTAGATTTAAAAATTAAAAAAATAAGATTAGTATGAATATAATAAAAAAATTCGACATATGAACCTTTTATATAGATTTTTTAGGTTTTCTCGTCACTTTCATTAAATTAGTTATTTATTTGGGTAATTTTTAATTTTTTAAGAATTGAAATTAATAAAATAATAATTAAGAAATTTTTAAAAGGAGTTAGTACTTGTCCGTCATACCTCCAAAAAATTAGGAGAAAAAAAGATAAAAATCACCTTATGCATACTTTAAAAATATAATAGTTTAGTCTTTTTCAATAAAAATTTATTGAAACGACGTAATTTTGAAATAATTTTCCTTCTAATCTTTAGGAGATAAAGTTGATAGGTACTATTTTCTTTTTAAAAATCATAAAAAATATAGAAATAAATTTTTTGTTAAGATTAAAATCGATCAAGATGATTATTCTAAAAAAATATATGAATTGAAATTGATATAACTTGAATTTTTCAATTTTGTTAATTATTTTTAAAATTTAATTAACCAAAAATTTGGTTTCGATTGTAACTAAAATTGAACCATATTTTGACAGCTATGGGATATGGTCAAAATATGGTTATGGTGGTGGGGTAGATTGGCCTTAGGAGAGGCGAGCTTTTGGAGTAAAATAATCCAGGAGAAATATGGTTATGGTGGAGGTAACTGGTTGTGTGGGCTAAGGGAGGGCAATGTTGAGGGCTCATTATGGTGGAGAGATTTATGTAGGTTAGGTGACTTGGAGGGAGAAAAAATGAATGGCCCAAGGGGGGTTCCAAATAAAACTAGGAGAGGGAGAATTAGTTAGATTCTGGTGGGATAATAGGGCAAGGTGTGGGCCTCTTGTTGACAAATTTTCTAGATTGTTCCTTTTATCCATAGGTCAACACTTTTTAGTTAACCAAATGGGAGAACTGGGACAAATAGTACTTGGAGCTAGGCACTTCCAAGGAGAAGGATGCTTGTTCATAGGGAAAGGGCTCAGATGGATTCCCTGATGAGCATTTTAAATGGGGTAAAGCTCCAGCATGGAATCCAGGACATTTGGAGCTAGAAAAACAGCATTGATGATATTTACACTACCAGCAAGGCATACTCCTTACTTGTCGATCAAAGTGAATCTATGGACCCCACTAACTGCTCCAGGATATGGAATTGTAATATTTCCTCCAAAGTTTGTGTTTTTGCCTGGAAATTAATTCAAAATTGCATTCCCTTTAAACTCAACTTGTCTAAACGAGGGGTGTTCAGCTCTCACGCTGGATTGGACTGTGTTCTTGGTCACGGTGCTGTTGAAGACTCAAACCACTTATTTCTTCACTACAAAACAACCCATATGCTCTAGTCAAAATGTTTTAGCCGGTGGGGAATTGAACACGCAATGCCAGGAACTTGTTGGGATGCCTTCACTCAACACAAAGACCTTCACACCAACACAACAATCAAAAAAGGCTGGGACATTATATGGTTTGTAGTTACTTTTGAACTATCTAGTTGGCTAGAAATGAGGTAATAATCCAAAACAAATGCTTGGAGGAGGGGAAGTTATTTGATCTAGTGCAGGTCCATTCATCCCAGTGGCTCAAATGCAAAGGTGAGGGGAAGGGAATTACACTTTCTAATTGGATTCAACAGCCAGGGTTGAGTGGTATAGCAACTTTTGCAAAACAAAGTAGAATGTGAAACTTAATATAAGGTTGTGTTGTACTAAACAATTTTGATCACAAGAGCTCCCTTGGCTGTGCTTTTGTATTTCCCTTCTAATATGAGTTCAAAGTA